AATCAACCCCACCCCCCCCCCCCCCCCTCTCTCTTGTTTTGTATGTGTGTTTGAAATCTTGAGTGTACTTTCCACTGAAGTCTGCTCATTTTTGTGTCTATTTTTGACATATGGCTCGCAATAGTTCTTCATTTTTCCGTACTAAATCTAACCTTATAAGGAACGTAACATTTGGATTAATGGTTGGAAAGTTATAGGTCCAAAACGGAATAGAGGTTGAAGCTGGAAAACAGAAGAAATTTGTTTCTCTCTTCTGCCAAAAAGCGATTGATCACTTTCCAAAAGCAATCAATCTGTGCTACAGTACCTGGGTGATAAACAGGTGATACAAGGGTGATACAGTGGTGATACAGGAGTGATACAAAATGTTGATTGTGTTTTTCTTTTAGTTTCTTGTTTTTGTTTCATTTCTCTCACCTTTATGTATTCTTTCCTAGTATTCGATTTATATCTTACCTTTGTGATTGTGTTAAATAAGTATTCTATATGTACTCAAACTGGATTTACATATAAACCTCCAATTCCTCGTACACTTATGGGAATTTTTAATTGGATGATTAGCACATTAAATTTGTGCCAAGTATTAATACAACATAATGCTATTTTTGTTTTCAATAAGTTTATTAATGATTGTGGTTCCATTTCATTACCTGCAAAAGGAGTGCCTTTAACTTGGTCAAATGGTCACCAAGATTAGTCTATTATTTTTGAAAGACTTAACAGAGTCCTTGTTAATCCTGATTGGCTTAGTTTGTACCCCAAGTTTGAGTTAACCAATTTGCCTATTTCCATATCTGATCATGGGCCCATTATTTTGTCTTGCCCGAATCCTAAAGACAGTTTTAGGAAAGCCCTTAAGCTTGAAGCCAAGTGGCTTTCTCATGTTAATTTTCCCAGGGTTGTCAGTCAGGTTTGGTCTCAGTCCTATGTTGGAGACTCTGTCCAGAAAATCTCCACTTGTTGCAGATCTTTTCAAATGAATCTTAGAAGGTGGAACACTGAGGTGTTTAGTAACCTTTTTCAGCAACTAAAAGATACCCAAGATCATCTTGATGCAATCCAAACCCAGTTAGCAACTTCACCAACATCCACTTTCCTTATTATTAAGGACAAGGACCTCAACCTCACTCTTAAAAATCTTCTTGAGAAGGAGGAATTGTTCTATGCCCAGAAAGCTAGGGCAAATTGGCTCCACTTCGGAGACAAGAACACAAAAATTTTCCAGACCCAAGCCATAATAGCACTTGGTGTGATCGTATCATGAACTGTATTTCTATAGTTTCCTTTTCTATTCTCATTAATGGGACCCCTGAAGGCTTTATTGCCCCTTCCAGAGGTATTAGACAAGGGGGCCCGTTTTCCCCATACCTTTTCATTTTATGTATGGAGCCTTTTATCATGCATCTTAATAGTTTGACTGCTTCTACTAAATTTCAGGTTGGTTTACTTTCTTCTCCTTTTGGTTATTGTATTTCAAATCTCGTTTTTGCTGATGATTGCTTGATCTTCACTAAAGCATCTCCTTTAGCTCCTAGAAATGTTAAGAAAGTGCTTGAGGCGTTCTCTCTTGCCTCAGGGCAACACATCAACTACCACAAGTATACCGTATATTTCTCACCCAAATTCCCCTCTAGTGTGAAGAATAACATTAGTACAATCCTTCAAACAGGGCCGGCCCTGACTTTTGGGTGGCCCTAGGCGATAAACTAAATGAGGCCCCTTCCCTTAGTATACAAGTGAGAAAAAAACAACAAATAAAATGATTTTATGTAGAGCGTAACGTGTGAATAAAAAGGTAGCATGCATTATAATAGGACATATCTTTGTACAAAAAATTCAGATTAGATATTTAATATCATGAAGGAAAACCCTAGAAAGCCCATCCACAGGAAACTTGAGATTACTTTCTCTTATAGGACACTTTTCTACTAAAAGATCCTTTGTTTTGTTATCAATGTCATCCCAATTTCTTGGATCATAGATATTCAAAGCAAGATTTATTTGTTCAGTTTCATTTTCATTCTCAAATTGATCACCAACCTGATTCAATTCATTTGTATCATTTTCTCTCATTTCTTCCCCATTATTTTCATTCTCAATTAGATCACCAACCTTATTATTCAGTTCATTTGTATCAATTTCTATCATTTCTTCCTGCTTATTTTCATTCTCAATGGGTTCACCACCCTTGTTCAGTTCATTTATATCATTTTCAATCATTTCTTCCAGATTATTTTCATTCTCACTGAGATCACCAACCTCTTCATTAAGTAAGTCATCAGCTGAATCTTCAATTGAAGAACTAGTTTTAAAAAACTTATCAAGAGCTCCTTTTTGAGTTTGAATCATTTTTTCTATTTTTCTCCTTTTATTTCTTTTTGCACTTCTAGATTCATGTTTCCTAACCATTTTTCTAGTGCAACTCTTAAGTCTAGAAAGTGAAAAACAGACAACCAATGAACAAAACAAACACACCAAACACAACCAGCAAAGCAAACACAACCAATGAACTAAAGTGTTACAAAAAAAAATTTAAAATTAAGTAGCAAATAAAGAGCAATAAAACCTGGTTAAAGTTTATATATAAAAAAGCCTCAATCCTGCAAAGCTTTATTCAGGCTAGCTGTGTTGAAACTAAAATTTGAGAAACTCCACTCTATACCTCCACCTGATTCATGTACATCTGCAATGATAAGATACATGCAATTCAATCAAGTATTCATAAATCTGATTACCACTCTGTA